GAATCGGGGGGGGGGGGCTCCTGCGGGTGTGGGAGGCACGCACCCTTCTTCGTGGGATGCGGTGTTGGGTCACGGGCCCGTGGGGCCAGGAACAGGGCTCAGGCTGGCACCCAACCTCTGCTCCGAAGAGAGCCCCTCAAATGCCGCAACGCAGGCCCCGCACGCGCCCCCACTTCTGCAGAGCGCTTTCCTCGGCCTCCCAGGAGAGGCGCCAAGAGCGCCGTCCCTGGCAAGAGCCAGCGAGGCCGAGCCGCACCGGTGGCTGGATCAGCTTTAACTGGTGTCCTTTCGCTTTTCCTTTTGGGGGCCTTCCAAGCGAGGTTTTCACGGAAGGATCATGCCTCACCCACAGATGGCTTCTGCGCTCCAGGTCTCACCCCACCCCGCAGGGGAGGAGGGGGTCCAGGTGCTGCAGGGATGGCTGCAACGGAGGGGGAGGGAGGGCAGCGGGTGGCCAGCACCCCCCGGGGACTCCCCCCCACGGCCATGGTCTCCAGAGGGCTTGCTGCACCCCGCCACTCTCTCATGCTGGTCGCCTGGCAAGAGCAAGCTGGTTAGGGGACCGCAGGCATCCTCCTTTCCCACCGCATCCCGCCAAGCAGCGTCCTTCCCACTCAGCCCCCAGTTTCCTGTCTCCGTCGCGGGACCTCCAGCAACTGGCCCACTGGCCCATATCCAAAGCGGCCCAAAGAACAGTGCAGCTGCGAACCGCAGAGAAGAAGCCCCCACCAGAAATGGGAAGGGGGGGGGAACACAAGCTGTGCGTGGCACCGTTGGCCGGCAAAACACTCGCAAGTGGAAATCTGGTGCTTTGAGTGGCTGCCTCTGTTGCAGGGAGAAACCGAAGGGCTGGCAAGTACCTAGCCAGAAAGAAGGTGCGACAGCGGAAAGGGCTGGAAAGCCAGTAAGGGCACATTCCCATGCATGTATACACTGAGAAATGTTCCGCTGCTCCCAGAATCCCCCAGTCAGCAGGACTGACTAGGGAATGCTGGGAGAACTCCCTTTCTGCAGGATGTGCCAGTTTGCACACTGAGGTTGCAAAATGCCCCAGGGCTTCTCCGCACCCCCGGCCCCCCCTGGGCACCCCTTGGGCTGCAAGGTAGGCCTGGGGAAGGCTGTCTGCACTCTGCTCCTGGGCCCTAAGCAGAGAGAAGCCACTTCTTATCTGCTTCACACCCAGAGCGTTTAGAGCTGTTCATAGCTTGCTTTTATTTATAGAACATTCGAAAGCAGCAATCCAAGAAGGTGAGTGAGCAGCAAAGGCCTGGAGATGCAAACGGATCTTGCTGGCACCAGAACTGCCTCAAGCTCCGTGCTGGGTGAGGCTTGGAGGGAGCAGACTGCCTGCACTCTAACCGTCACCTCTTAGTTCCGGATGATGGGGGATGGAAAGGAGGGAGATGGGGAAGAAAGATCATGACCCTCTTTCCATTGCCAACTTTGCCACACGTTTAGGCTCAGGTTTAGGTTTTCCTCGACTCCCAGATCTGCAGGGTAGGTAACCAATTCTGCTGTTTCTTCAGGCTAAGAGCAGTCTCCCCCTCAAAGTTTACACAGCTAATCATACTTCTGCTGAACCAAAGGAGCACCAGACCCTTTCTTCACAACCTGCAAACCTTGTTTCCATCCTCTCTTGCATCTGTCGCTTTGTTTGGCCAACATTCCACCTCTCCTGTTTCACCTGGGAATACTCAGGTAACTGTAGCCCCCTTGAGATGAGGAGGGGACTACGAGAAATCATACACTGAAGCCATATTGACCACATTTTCCTATCTCACCATGAGGGCTAGAAACATGATTGTTTATTCAAAATGAAATTCAAGCTATGTTGGGTACCATGGTGCCCATGGAACTTTCTTTGTATTCACTTATACACGCATCCACAAGGGACTCAATAGCCAGCTGGGCTGTGGAGGCTCCACTGGATATAATTTCCTAAATAAAGGAGAGGGAGCTCTGATGAGGAAGAGGCAAGGCAAAGGCAGGTGGGGAGCACGGCAGTGCGAAAGCCACCTCACTGAGGGAGGGGTCAGGGGAGGGGGTCCTGCCCCAGGACCCTCCACAACCTAAAACTGGCCCCATTCTGCTTCTTTCTGCAGTCATTTGCTACTAATTCACACTCTTCCATAATCAGTCCTCCAGGAACAGTCTGCTACAAAAGGCCTTTTTCAGGATGCCACGTGCAGGTCGTCCACTAGTGCAGGGCACTAAAAAAATAGAGCTGAACTCATAAACGTTCCTCAGGGCGGGGACTTGATGGGCCGGGCCGGGCCGGGCCTTGTGCCGCGGCCGATCAGCCGCAATCCAAAGGGGTCCCGGCAGGGGCTGGAACAGCCTGACAATCGTAACATATTAAAAGGGGGAGCGGGGAGAAGGGTTCTGAGAAGAACAGAGACTCGGAGTGTCGTTTCATGAGAAACACGCTTGATTGACTTCTTTTGAAGCAACGGGAGGAGATTGGATTCCCCTTGCAAAGCGCTTTCTCGCTCGGCATGAAGGAAGCTACCCAGAATGATGGGGTTGGGAGTGCGGCGGGCCTCCCACCCTCGAGGCTTAGGTGCTTCCAGTGCCTCTCCCCGGATGTTCGACTGGCACCATGACTCTTACGCCAACCTGAGCTGATTGCTCTGGCTCTTCTGCCCCTCCGCCCGGAACGAAGCACCCGAGGCGTCTTCAGAATGGAATCTGGCTGCAGAGCTGGCGGAGGCTCCGAACCGCCAACCCGCCCTCGATGCCTCCAGCATGGCAGGGCCCACGGCCCCCCTTGGACATCGGCTCCGTTGCCATACCGCCCGGGCAGTCAGGCGATTTTTCCTGATCTGGCTTTCTGCAGCTGGAGCCGGTCTCCTCCTCATGGGGTGATCAAGAAGGAATCCTGGCCTGCCCCCGTGCAACACCCTTCCAAGCGCTTGAAGGGTGCTGCTGTACCCCTGCACTGCCTTCTCCTCTCCTGGCTCAACATGCCCCGTTCTTTCCATCTCTCCTCAGGGGGCTTGGTTTCCAGGCCCCGGTCATCCTTGCTGCCGTCCTGCGAGCCCCTCCCAGCTTTTCTGCATGCTTCTTAAACTGTGAACCAGTTAAACTTCTCCACCAGGCTCAGAATTAAAAGGCTGCTACTTAAATGGGCATCCGGGTGGCACGATTCTGCAAGGCCCGTGTTCTCCTAAAGGGAGCAGAATGCTGCCGGAGGCTGTGCAAACCACGTGGCGAGAGAGAGGTGCAACTGCAGGCACGAACAGCAGAGTCACAGCTGGATTGGTGAGACCCTTTGGCCAAGAGACCATCAATTCTTATTCCGCTTCTCTGAATTTATTTCATGTCTGTCTCTCTCATAAGCCGAAGCTCTCTTGGCTATCTTGGCCCGCTAATCCCACCATCCTTCACCCTTCTCCCGCATCTGCCACACCGGAGAACAGCACTGGAGAGGCCGTGCCTGGACCGGGCCGCCGAGGGGTGCCGAGCGTGCCTGTCGCTCTCCTGGGCGAGCTCTGCTGCCCCTCCCGGAACCGCCTTCTGGGAGCAGCAGGCGAAAGCGACTCCGTGCGCGTGCCGCCTGCTCCCGGAAGGCGTGTGGCTTGCTGCCGCAGAGGCGGGCACCCAATGGCGCACCGCAGGTGGGAGGCACCCACGGGTGCACACACACCTCCGGGCACTGCGCGGGGTTGTAAAGGCCTGCTCTCGGAGCAACAAATGCGCAGGCCTTCCCCCTCGGTTTCAAAGCAGAGCGCCCGAGCCCCTGGGCGGGGAGGGAGCTGGAAGGAAGCGCTCATTCAGAATGGTGCAGTGTGCGTGGGAAAGCACTGCTCTACGGACGCTGACCAAAGGGTGGAGGGAGGAAAGGGCAGTGCCAGAGGGGGCGAGGTGCGCAGCAGGAGAGCATGAATCCCACCGAGAAGCCAGGCGCTCTAGAACCCTAGTGAGGCTTTCCGGTAGCCGCCCCCCCCCCCCCAGCTCTTCCATTTGGAACGAGGAAGTTTCCCTGCACGGAGTCAAGGGGTTTGCCTTGCCTTCCTTGTTCCGAACAGAACAGCCCGCCGGGGTTTTAGAGTCAAGAAGAGAATGCATGGAAGCTTTTCCTAGCTCTGCAACTGGGCAGCCTCGCACGGGGAACAATTCAGTCGAGGATGTTCTGCGCCCAAAGCACCTCGCCGAGCACGAAGCTTTGCCTCCTCCAGAGGGACAGCAGCCCTTTCAGGATCCAGAGACGAGAGCAGCGTCTTGCCCGTACTTGCACAGAGGGCAGGAAAGATCAGAAGGCAAGGGGGCAGTTTCTACAGGGCTCTGACACACAACACAAACACGACCAGATCAGAGGAACGTGTCCCTTCTGCCCTGGAACCCCCCACCCGCGGCTCCCCATCCTTGTGCCCTTCGGCTCGTTCATGGCAAAATGGGTCCATATGAGGCCGAGTGGGCAGCTGCCCCACAAGGTGGAGAAGTTCTCAGGAGGCAGGATCAGCCTTGTGCGAAACCAGACCGGAGCGCTACCCCTGGGGGAAGTCCCAGGACCATCCCCAGGTCTCCTTGTAAGTAGCAAACCAGCAAAGCCGGCCGGCATTTTCCTTGCGGCGCTCCTGCCATCTGCCTGGAGGACATTTCCCTGCAGGAGGATGCCTGCCTGCCTGCCTGCCTGCCTGCCTGCCTGCCTGCCTGCCTGCCTGCCACTCCTCCCCATGTGATCTGCCGTGGTGCCGCCCCTTCTGCCAGCACGGTTTCTTCCGCCTCGTTCTGCTGCATGCGTGGAGGAAAGGAGCTCCAGAAACACGCTTCATCAGGCCCCGCAGATTTCAATGGAGACCTTCGTCAAGGGTGTGGCGAAGCAAGGAGGCGGTGCTTGCCCATAGCTGCTGCCCGCCCAGAGCAGACGTGGGCCTGCGCTTCGCATGAACAGCAGGGCAGGAGGGAGGATGCGCCACGCTGCTCGGCCGGCCGTGGGGGGGCCGCCGTCACGCCCTCGCCCCCAGCTGGCTGGGCCGGGGCCACGCCGGGCGACTTACCGTAGAGAATGGTGATGAGGGAGACCGGCATGACGAGGATGCCCACCAACATGTCCGCCACTGCCAAGGACATGAGGAAATAGTTGGTGGCGTTTTGGAGCTTCTTCTCCAGGGAGACGGCCATGATGACCAGGATGTTGCCTCCAATGGTCAGCAGGATGATGATCAGGATGAGGAGGGCCGGCCAGTTCTTCTCTTGGATGGACGTCCGCGAGACCTCTGCCCCCCCGGAGGCATTCCGGGGGTCAGGGATGGGCAAGCTGCGGTTCAGAGTCGCATTGTGGCCGAGCGGCCAGGCCATCAGGCTCCCGTGCAGGCTGAAGTCCAGGGTGACGGACACGGTTGGCAGGCCAGCAAGAGCCTCTCCCCCGTGGACGGCACTCATCCTTGGCCGCCGGCAGGGCACCCTTTCCCGCAGGAGCGCCTCGGCGGGACCCTCTCCTCGCGAGGAGGGCAGTCCAAGGCCAGCGCAGGATCACGTGGCACTGGAGCCTCCCACGGGCTCGGCCTTCCCTAGTGGGTGGAAGCTCACGGAAGCCAGCATGCGGCTCTTCTGGGGTGCTGCCAAGGGCAAGCCCCACGGTCTGGGAGGGCCAGGGGGCGAGCCGCCTTGGGGGCCTCGCGGCAACGTCCAGCTCCCAGTCCGGGCCGGCATTCTGCAAAGGGAAGAGAGAGGCTTTCATTTTCATGGGGAAAGGGCGGGATGCAGCCCGTCGGCCACGTGCTCCGGCAGGCACTCGCGCAGCTTGCGCTGGGGGCACGCACGCTCCCGGGCCCGATTCAAGGTGCCAGCTGGAAAGCGTACGGCCTCCCGTGCCTCGGGACCACAGAGCCTGGTGGAGCAGCTCTCCAGGTACTTTATGTATTTACTTATTTATTTAGGACGTTTATAGGCCGTCCAACACTGTCGTCCCTGGATGGCTTACAATAATATAATATAAATCCTAAGCAAGATAAATTAGCTATACCGCGACTGAATAGTTAAAGTAAGTTAAATAAATAGACAATTAAAATCATTTGACATTAAAATATTGGTCAAATAAAAAGGTCTTGACCTGGCACTGAAAAGCATATAACGACGGCACCAGGCAGACCTCTCTGGGGAGCACATTCCACAGTCGGGGCGCCACCGCAGAGAAGGCCCTCCTCCGGGTGCTCTGTCTCCTGATGTCTTTCATGGAGGGTTCCCGGAGGAGGGCCTCTGCTGCCGATCTCAGGGGGCAGGAGGATATATAGGGAAGAAGGCGTTCCTTTAGGTATCCTGGTCCCAAGCCATTAAGGGCTTCATAGGTAATGACCAGCACCTTGAATTGAGCCCAGACTTCAATGGGAAACCAATGGAGCTGATAGAGGACTGGAGTTGTGTGAGAATAACGCCCAGTCCCCCTCAGCAACCTGGCTGCTCTATTATGCACCATCTGAAGTATCCGGACTGTCTTCAAGGGCAGCCCCACGTAAAGCGCGTTGCAGAAGTCCAAGCGGGAAGTAACCAATGCACGTGTCACTGTCGCTAGGCAACCGTTCTCCAGGTAGGGACGCAGCTGACGGATCAACTGAAGCTGAAGGAAAGCGCTCCTCGCCACTGCTGACACTTGAGCTTCCAAAGTCAGCTCCGGGTCGAGGAGCACTCCCAAGCTGCGGACCCTGTCCTTCAGAGGGAGTGCAACTCCATCCAGGGCAAGGCCCAAGTCACCTACCCAGGAGCTCGATCCACCCACCAGCAGGACCTCCATCTTGTCTGGATGAGCTTCAGTTTACTGGCCCTCATCCAGCCCATTACCTCGGCCAGGCACCGGTTCAGTACAGCCACTGCCTCACCTGGATCGGTTGAAAAAGAGAGGCAGAACTGGGTGTCATCAGCATACTGATGATTCCGCAGCCCACACCTCCTGATGACCTCTCCCAGCGGTTTCATGTAGATGTTGAATAGCAAGGGGGACAAAATGGACCCCTGCGGTACTCCATGGCATAGCTGCCATGGCGCAGAGCCATAGTCCCCCAGCACCACCTTCTGGAATTGGCTGTCGGGGTAGGAGCAGAACCACTGCCAAGCAGTGCCTCCTACTCCCAGACCCGCCAGCCTATCCAGGAGGATACCATGGTCGATGGTATTGAAAGCCGCTGAGAGGTCCAGGAAGACCAACAGGGACGCACTCCCCCTGTCTCTCGCCCTGCACAGGTCATCATACAGGGCGACCAAGGCAGATTCAGTACCATACCCAGGTCTGAAGCCAGACTGAAATGGGCCCAGATACTCAGTTTCACCCAAGAGTGCCTGGAGTGCCACTCCAACACCTTGCCCAGAAACGGGATGTTGGCCACCGGTGTTTAATTGAGACCCTGATCTCTGCCTCCTTTAAAGAAGAAGTGGGGACCTGGCCCTCCCTCAGTGAGGCCTTGATAACCTCCTGGATCCAGGAGCCAATCCCGTGTTTGGCTTTGGTAAGTAGCCATGAAGGGCAAGGGTCGAGTAAGCAGGTGGTGGGATGTCCTTGTCCAAGCACCTTGTCCACATCATCAGGTATGAACCTGTCCCTACCCTGCAATGCAACCACCACACCTCCTTCTCTCCTCAGGCCAGGAGAGGCAGACACCAGATGGTCACACCTTGGCGTTACACCTGCGTGTCTCAGGAGGGTCTCGCCAGGCTTGCTGCAGCCAGCAATTCTCTCTGGCCTGCACTAGCTGCTGCCTTTCATGGCTGCAGCACCTCCGGAAATCCTCCCACGACAGGCTGCTAACCCCAGCCAATTCTGGAAGGCCGCAGCCAGGCGAGAAGAAAGCACTGCCCCGAGAAGAGGCATTGAGGGCCGGCCATTCTGCACATCTGGAGGCGAAGCAGGGGGCGTGGAAAAGCCATGCAAAGCCCTCTGTGGGGCTGGGTGCCAGCGAACAGACGTTGGCTGCGAGCGTGGCTTAGGCGAGCTGGGCACTTCTGCAGAGCAAGCTGGCGGAAAGGGCCACAAAGGGAGGAAAGCACGGTTTGGGGTGCTCTTTTCTGAAAAGGAGGAAGGAAGGACACCTTTAGCTTGCTTGTCCAGCACACAGGTGGGGTTTCCACCAGAACTGCAGCAGGTGGGCTGCGGATCCATGCAGGTGTCACCCACCAGAGGACGCTGCTTCTAGCAGCAGCAAAAACATGTGATCCCAGGGGAGGGGAGGGGAGGGGAGGGGACCATGCCTTGGGGTCCATAAGAAGCTTTTTTTGATATACTATGGAGATAAGAAGGTCACTAGCTGATGTGCTGATTTTATGTGCCGATATGATCACTACTAAAGCCATCACAGCTAAAAAAAGAAAAGTGGAGTTAAAAAGCTAAAACATAGAAAACAGAGCGAGTCAGAAGGGGTCTCCTGGGCCATCCAGTCTGGCCCGCTGCTCCAGCGGGCTGCGCTCACGACATGCCCACCATGTGGGTGCCCAATCTTCCCTTGAACGCCCTCACCGATGGGACCCTCGTCACCTCCCTTGGAAGCCCATTCCATCTCCTGTCCTCCACCTGGGGAGACCAGGTCACGCCCCTCTCCTGTGTGACGCCCCTTCACATACCTGGATCCCCTGGAGTCTCCTCTTCTCCAGGCCGAAACGACCCAGGTCCCTCAGCCCCCCCTCATACGGCGCCCCCGATACTGAGCAGGCAATCCCACCCTTAGAAGGGGGCCCTCCGTTTAGGCTGGTTGAGCTGCCATCAACGGAAGCTAATCAAGGCGCTGTCCACCTTCTGTTCTGTTTTTGCTACGGAGCCTTCCCCCTCCCTGCTCTTTTTGGTGGTGGTGGGGGGGTGGGGTCTTCGTCTTTTCTCGTGCTTTGCTGGCTTGCTAGCCTGATGGGCAACTGAATTTGGGAACCGGAGCCCAATCCAGGGTTGGAGTTGGCAGGCAAGGCACACGGCTGCGCTCGCAAAATTGCCCAGGCAACTTGTGCAGCCACCCATAAACCGAAAACGAAAAGCGCCACCTTTCGCTTCCCCAAGCGGTCTGCCCCATAAAAACCAGTTCACGCTCCATGCTGCCCATGAAAGGCAAGCGGGAATTGGCCGGGCCAGCCGGGCAGCTGCGGGAGCGACTTGGAAGGCAGCCCTTGCCCCCAGGGTGAAATCCTTGACCTTTGCTGCACAAAAGAAGCCAGCTTCCCAGAGAGAGCCGGGCCCTTTTGGAAATGAGGGATGAGGCTGCTCCCAGGAGGCCCCACGACAGTCCGTGTTTGGCTGGCCGGGGAACCGTCCAAGGCAGCATAAATGGTGCCTGGGCTGCCTCCATTTCGTTTCACCTGTGTGTGTGTGTGCGGGGGGGGGGGATGTACATATAAGTGCAGCGTGTGCTGGGCTGCAAAAGCTGGAGGCTAAATCAGGGTCAGAATCGGAGCAGGAACAGCCAACGGTTAGCCCAACTCCCCTTTCCAGCTGCACAGGTACCCAAGGGGGGGCCCTTGCCCCATGGCCCTCAAAACATGGGTCCACCATGATCAGCCCCCACCTCGTACCTCCTGACAAGACGGGCCACCTATTCCCATGGGCAAGCCCCCGATTTGGGAACATCCAGCATCTCCACTCCTAAGGCCAAGCTCTGTGAGGTTAATTCCAGCAGGACCCTTGCGACCGTGACAGGTGGGGGCGGGGGGAGGTCAGGCTGGGGCATCAAGCCCAGCTGGCTCACTCGAGCTTCCCATCTTCACAGGCAGCACCCTGCACTCAACCCAGGAGAAGGGCCTGACCTCTGTAAATTAGCAGAGAGAATGAATACCTCTTGCAATAAAAGCATGAATTACGTGAACGTTACCAGCATTAGCAATGAGTTGCTCCGTTTCTGTTCCGTCCTCTGGACCCTCAGCCTCCCTTGTGTTAGCTCACAGCCACCCTAATGACTGTCATTCATGGTGGGCTTAAGATGTGTCAGAACGCAGCAATCCCTGGCTGTTTTGGCCCTGATTCTGCTTAACTGCGCTACAGGGGGCAGCTCGTGCCACCAAAAGACAGGATCCAAAGGAGCCACCTGTCCTGCCTAGTCAAGCCCACCTGGTGGTCACACGCCTCAGACTCCGTTTGGCGATGGTGGCAATGTCACACACACCCTGGGGGTCTTTAACCAATACCGTCCACCACTTGGCAAGTGGCCGCAGTTCAGTAACAGCTCGGCTTTCTCTTGCCCTCCCGTCTTCTCTGCTGACGTCTCCCCGCCAGGCCCTGCTCCTCACCGCTTGGCCCCTGGAGCAGGAGCTGCTGGCTGAGAAGGGACCCCTGACCCAGGACGGCCTGGCACTTCTTTTGCTCATGGTTCAAGGATAGGTCTCTCATTCATTCATTCATTCATTCATTCATTCATTCATTCATTCACCACCCCAATAGCCCAGAGGGCTCTCTGGGTGGTTTACAAACATTAAAACTG